CCAGGGCGGTCGGTAGCCGGTAGCCAGCACCAGGATCGCGAGCAGCGCTGCTGCGATGGTCTCGAACCACGCTCCGGACAGCAGCATCCTCCAGTCGAATCCCTGCATCGAAGATGGATTAAAAAGAGGAGAAAGGATTCTTTTTTTCCAAACGCGTGATCGATTCGTTTGCGGGATCGAGTCGCAGCAAGAGCGCGGGAGCGGGAGCGATTATCTCGTTACGACGCGCGAAACGCTTGTCTCGCCTTCGCGGGTACGTCGGTCGCGAAATATGTAGTACTACGACTGGCGCCCCGTATCTCTCGGAGCGTTTTGAGTCATTATTTGGACTGACGTCCCCGAGGAGTGAGGACGCGTCGAGGTTTTCAGTCTCAACGGAGAGAACGTGTGATTAATTTTAATTCTCAAAATATTAAAAGAGCGAATCAAGCTACTTTTTTATGGTGGCGGCTTCTCAGATACATCTTGTAACCCTCCTGTATACCTTTGCGGTTCGTAGCCCTATTTGCGTCAAAGAAAATGCGGGATATCACCGATGGGATAAAACAGCGTCTCTTCGCCTTACAATCGCAGAATCATTACAAAAGCGCGATTGCCGGAGCCTCGTGCACATTGGACGTTTAACTCAGCTGTAAATGACGAAGACGCATCTTTCGACGTGCCGGATCTGATAAGGCGCTACGATTTAGCACTGAAAAAACGCGTGTGATGCCGAACGCGCAATAATAAGCATCGCGCATTTTTGTTAGCAATTCTCACCGAGAAAAGGAAAAACAGAGAGAGAGAGAGAGAGAGAGAGAGAGAAAGAGAAAGAATAGCAAAGAAAGAGAAGTAGAAACTGAGCCAACAGGACAAAGGGTGAAAAGCGTAGGAATAGCAACGACCGCTTATGGATCTCCTCGCGACTGACTGAGTGCCCCAGTGTTATTTGCAGACCGCGCGATTCCTCTATTTGCAATTCGCCGATAACATGCTCCCGGTGTTGCCCCGATGATCCCCGGCCTCGCTCCCTCTGTTTCTCTCATCCTCTCTTACTCTCGCTCGCTTCTGAGTCACTGACGTATCGCAGTTGTTACACGGATCGGGAAGAAAATAGTATAAACGATAACTCTCTGTACGGATGTACCGCGAGAATAATATCACGTTCTGTATAGCAATAGCAAAGAAAGGCAAAAGGAAGATAGATCACCTCGTGCGCGAACTTCTTGACTTGTGGCCGAACTTTGAACTTGAATTCCTCCCATAAAGCTACGCGACTCCTCGCGTCAAGTGTGAAACTAAGGCGTAATTTATTTAAAATAAATCCACTTGTATTCCCTTCTCTTTTATCGCGTACCGCTCACTGTATCTTTCGCGTTTTCCCCCTTTACGCGTTCGCGGGTAAATAAAGACTCGCGCGATTAAGATAATTATGCTGTTTTCGGAAAAATTACAATAAATCGCTCAACGACGCGAGGACGATCAAGGTCGTAAAAACACGTGATTTTCGTCAAGGGGGGGGGTGAGAGTGGGGAGTAGGGGAGAAAATACCTCGAGGAAACGAGCGGAGGAGAAGGGACGCAGGGGAAAGGGAGGAGGCCAGGGGCAAGCCGAGCGCCGCATTCCACGGCGTTTTCTTACAGCAGTTTCCGTGTACGTGAACGCGCTTCGAGCCTCCTGACCGGCTACATTGTTCCTCCTCATTAATGACTTTAATTTAGCGCACCGCTACGTGAACACCATCTCACCATGCATCGGCATTCACAATACTCCCGTCCCCCACCTCGGCGGTGGGAGATGGAAGTCTCTCAAGGATGATATCCACCTCTTGAAGAATGTGAAACGTGGTGCACGCGATCGTTGCGTTCCGACGAAGCCGCATTCTTCCCCCAATAACGTGCCTCCGATCTTTGTTTACCTTTTACTCACATTTACTCTACTCCGTCTCATTTTACACGGTCTCGGAAACACGTCTTGATAGGGATCGATGAGAAAGAGAAGGCGCGGGTATTACATCCCAGCAAACACAGATTATAACTGCAATGTTGCAGCAACATTGTAATATTCCAGCTATATTGCAGAAATATTACATTGTTGCTGTAATATTGTAGTTATAATCTCTGTGTTTGCTAGGTGTGTCAATTCGAGGCTCGATTCTTTAGCGGACTTTCACATTGTTGGACCTGCAGATAAAATAAAACGCGATCGGGGGATATCTTAGTTAGAAGATAAAAAGAACTCTGAACGAAGTTATCGAAGTCGAGTTACGAAATTTAATTCTGATTTAGCAATAGGAATTATTTTACCGACTTCTTGCGCTTTGTCCTCGCAAACTTATCTGACAGTGAGATATAGAAAAGAGCTTCAAAACGTTATTATAACGGAGATTTAATTTTACGCGAAATTGAAAAATTTCTACTTCTCCCTTCAATTTACCTATTTTTTCACGAAGCTTCGCATCCAGATCATTCGAACCTGTTCTACGCTTTACGAATAGACTATTCTTAGCTCGCTCGACTAGCATCAACGATCGGAATCGAGCTTTGGATCGAAGCTCTAATAAAGGTCTAATAAAGAGAGTGGAGAGCGAAACGTATCTTGCATATCTCGCGGAACCAGTCCCACGCTAAAAGAAAGAAGACAAAGTGCTCGCGCTGCAGCTATCGAAAGCTCACTTCGTTCTCTTTTTCTTTCTACGTTAATTCTCTCTTACGCGATCTCTACTTTCTATACGAAATTAACGAGACGCATGGATTAAAAAAAAAGAAAAGATAAGAGGGGAAATTTAAATGTTGACACAAAGAACAAGCAAGACTTTGATCGTCATTGCGTGTGTAAAATTGTAAATGAATGGATTTTAAAATTGAAAAGTTTAAATAAAAAAAAAAAAGGAAAATCATAACTAATGCACATTTAATTTTATACGAAAAATTATTGTAATATTTATTTTTTTTAATTTACCTATTTTCTGCGGAGTTTTGTGATCGGGATATTCGAACCTGTTCTACACTTTACGAATGAGCTATTCTAGATATGATTTTACGATCTTTTGTGTACGTGTCGATCTCTAGAATTTATTGCAATCGAGAAAGTAGGATCTAAATGGTCCCCACTCGTGCGACCTCTTTTTTCTTGTCTCGCGTTCCAGATTCACTCTTATTCGAAGTCATCGATACGTGAATTAAAGAGTCACCCTATATACAGTGTCATGTGTGTACTCTGTATGCATCGAGGATATTAAACGCCTTTGTATTAACGTGGAACGTGGATAAAGTGTTTTCGTCCTGCTACTCATTAGGCAAATTTCGCTCTCTATACGCCGCACGCACGCGCTACCGCATCGTCGCACCGTCCGTCGCGCGTCCGCGCCGTCGCGTCGTCGCGCAGCCACCGTGGCGTCGCGTAGATGATAACGAACACGGCCGGGTAATTGTGTGCGAAGACTTTGGAATGGCAGCGTGTGTGTCGCCGACGAATGCCAGTAAATAAAGGATTATTGCCGGCGAGCAATTGAGAAAGCGCGAGTGAGTGAAAGAAAAAGTAACGGGGGACGATGGGGGGCGCAGGGTGGGGACGGGAAGGGAGAACGAGAAAAATAATCGGGCCGGGTTGCGCCCGATTACCCGTGACGAGTCGGATCGTTATCTTCCTTTCCTTTTCTCTTTTTTCTCCCGCCCCCCTTCCCTTCTTTTCTTTTTTTCTCCCTTTTCTGTCTTTCTCCGCGCTCGCGAACGCGAGATATGATAACTTTACGACTTATAATTTCACGTAAAAATGTGTCCTGACCTTGCGCGGAGAATCTCCGCGCGCTCAATCATTCTCGCGAAAGATAGGTGATATAATGATCTCTCCCTTTTGCTTCCAGAACGTAGCAAAAGTCGTATTGTCAGCGACAACGACTGCGATGGACTAATTTGAAGATCGATGCGCGCGTCAGAGAATCGATTCATCAAACACCAGCTTTCTTCGCTTCGGGACGGAAGTCGGGGCTGTCGCGTAATCTCGCGTTGTTTTATCGGTAACGTTTTTAGCTAACATTTCCGTTTTTTAACGCTACGCCTGTCAATTAAATAAACGAGAGAGAGAGAGAGAGAGAGAGAGAGAGAGAGAGAGAGAGAGAGAAAGAGAGAGAAAGAGAGAGATAAATACCGTAATGCGCGACTGTGTGCCTCGTTAATAACTCTATACTACGGTTATTATCCACTTTCGCGCGAGAGCACCACCCAATCATAAGCTTTATTTGCTGAACGTTACTCGGCACTTTTTCCCCACGTGCGTGGACGGAATTGTATCTCGAGCAGGTCACCGGCACGTACGCAAGGCGAATTAATTATGTTCCCCCGTCGTCCCGCTCGTGACATGCCGTGCTTACGTATTACTTGGATTTTATCTATATACATTTTATATATGTATTTTAATCTTGATTTTCTTGATGTTGATCGGAACCCATTAACGTCCAAGCGGATTTTTTGAACAATTTTCAATGGTTTAATTTTTTATTTTAATGGCCTTGAAAAAATTCAAGCAACAATATTTCTGATGTAAAATTTTTTGCTCTTTTAGAATCTGCCATCAGAATTTGTCAAAAATAAAGTCCCAAAAAGTTATAGTCGATTTTTTGGAAAAAAAAACCGTGATTTTTCACTCAAATTTTTTTTTAATCGATATTTTCACATCGAAACGACATTAGGATGATCTTGAGCAGTCAAAATATCGCGTTCATGAACTCTAAACTTTAAAACATATACATACTCATTTCGAAATTCATGATGGCGGCATCGAAAATGGCGGCCAAAAGCTCGAAATATTACAATATTATGCAAATTCATTTTAAAAAATACAGCATTTTTTAAAATAAATTTGCACAATATTATAACATTTCGAGCTTTTGGCCGCTATTTTTGATGCCGCCATCATGAATTTCGAAATGAGTATGTATATGTTTTAAAGTTTAGAGTTCATGAACGCGATATTTTGACTGCTCAAGACCATCCTAATGTCGTTTCGATGTGAAAATATCGATTAAAAAAAAATTTGAGTGAAAAATCACGGTTTTTTTTCCAAAAAATCGACTATAACTTTTTGGGACTTTATTTTTGACAAATTGTGATGGCAGATTCTGAAAGAGCAAGAAATTTTACATTAGAAATGATGTTGCTTGAATTTTTTCAAGGCCATTTAAAATAAAAAATTAAGCCACTGAAAATTGTTTAAAAAATGTGTCCGCTTGGACGTTAATGGGTTAAGATACGATCGATTGTCTTCGAAAATATCGTCCCGCTGTAAAAGAGGTATAACTTTAGATAAGCGCGCGGTCGTATGCGGAAAATTTCCGTGACTTACGTACCCTCGTACGCTTCAATCATCGCCCCATCGGTCGCAAATGCAAACGATTCGAGGATTCCACCGAAAGTGGAAAAATGAGATATTCACCCTCTGCTGCTCCGTTCGAGGAAGAACTGCCAGAAGAAATTGTAAATTTCAAACAGTCACGGCAATAAGTAATAGTAACGAAGGAATATTATCTCATTAGTTGACCTATTTGTCGGACATGCGATTATTTGCTTTCGTTCGATAACTCAATGATAAATGCCTTCCGTATGCATTCCGTTCGCACCGCGGATTCAGGAGTAGCGTAATAACGGATTCTCAAGTAAAATTATACGCTCCTGGCGAGTGAAGTCCGTACGCTGTACGATCATTCGTTCGAATCTTTTTACCGACGCAAATCTTTTATTATTTTAGCCTTTCAATAATAACGCGGAACGATTCTCACAATTATTTTTCCGAGAGAGAGAGAGAGAGAGAGAGAGAGAGAGAGAGAGAGAGAGAGAGAAAGACTGTGAAATGTTTATCACGAGAGATAATTCCGGAACCTTCAGAAAACACGTATACAAGCAGGAGCGCCGAAGGCGCTGTCGATTACGCGAAACGCATCTCGCCGTTTCCGTATAACGTTCCCGATTACGCGCGACGTGTATGGTGTATCCAGAAATTGCGGTTCCCGTTTCGCGCGATTACTTACGACGGTGCGACGTTACACGCGGTACGGTTTACCTTCCCCTCGGAGGGGGGGAGTGAGGAGGGATCATATAATCGCCGTAATTGCCGCGCGCGGGCATCAAGCAAATTATCGCCGCGTGTATATCGGCGGCACTTAACATTTCGCAAATAAAATGATTGCCCCGCCGTCTCGAACTTGCCGACCGTCTGTCGCAATTAAACGAAGGGCCCTCCCCGCTCCCCGGAAAAAAAGCGTCTCGAGCGCCTGATATATACAGGGTGTGCCGATCGGTCGGCAGGCGACGAGCGTAACGCGAGTGGGTAAAATAAAAAAATTTTTAAGATTTTCAAATAATTTCAATTGACATTTCTCTCGTACCTACTATGGTTGCGCTACGAAGGTACACGCCGCGCGCACGCACGGCTGCACGGATTGCACGGAGACTGAGGGCAGGAAAAATCTTCCCGCGACAGATATACGATAGCGCGGGCTGACAAGTGAGAGAATGTGCGTGTTGTCAGCTATCGCGCCGAGATATGCTCGCTCGCGTGAGAGAAGAAGATATGTATACCGCCTCGATAACAGGAAAAGATCATCGAGCAGACATGGCGTGTGTGTGTGATTGTTATTCTGGTTTACAAACAATATAAGGAGTTTATGTCGTATCTTATATTATTGTAAAGTAATGCTTTACTTTACAATAACAAAGCTTTCGTTGTTCAAACGTACGTATCGTATCGCATGCGAATCGGCAAACCATAGACGGTGCTAGAAAAAGCTTACACACATCTTTTATCCTGCGCCCCTGTCACTTCTCTCGCCAAGATTAGCGAGACCTTTCTTTTTGACGCTTTCTATATCTGACGAGAGCGGTCTCGTCAGATATAGCGCGGGAGAACTAATATATTTCGATGTATTCGACGTTAAGAGGAGAGCGATATACTTCATTGCCGCACTTTATTGTGTTACAAATGTACAAAAATCAATGCTCTATCGCAAATATTTTTAACCGTGATAATAATTATTGCCAGTTTCAATAACAGATTATTATTTCACAAGCGAGTGTTCGCGACGAAATCTCGTGAGTTTTTTTCTTCGCCTTAAAGAAAATCGCCGATAATTTTCGACGAGCTGGATCTTCGCGTATAATACGAAAAGAATGTACCTTACCTTACATCAGCTGTCAACTGTCAGCGTCACTGTCGCGTTCCCGTCGTTGTTACATAGAAGTAAACACAGAACGCTGTTTACCGCGTTGTTCTTGGAATCCAAACTTCTCGAAATTACCTGCGTTTTTCTTTTTTACACACACACACACACACACTCTCTCTCTCTCTCTCTCTCTCTCTCTCTCCCCGATTTCGTACAGAATTAGTCAACACGCTCGGTCGCGATAACGCGTGAGACTCGCGCGCACCACTGTGATCCTTTGGAATCCCAACCGCGCACCACCACCCGCCGCGAAAATCGGCGCGAATTGGAATTCGCGAATGGGAATGCGCGACGCGCAATCCCATGGTTGTTGATAGTCGCCGTGATTGCCGTGATATTACCATAGCGCGTGAGCTCCGGCGCAACGAAAACTCGCCCTCGCAGCTCGCGCTCGCTTCGGCCACGGGGGAACCGCGCGCCGTCCACCAGTAATACGATCAGTAAATCGCACGCATGTCCACGCGCCGCCGTCGCACCACTCACGCGCGTGTGTGTGCCTGCGTGCGTTGTATCGCGACGCCGCGCACCAGTCTCTCCTGACTCTCCCCCGACACGGCGCGAATTATCCGCACCAAATTCTTCTCACTCTCTGTGTCTGGTCGGTCTGGCCTGGTCTACTCGCGTCGATTTTACGCGCGCGCAACGCGCGCAATCGGCGCGCGCGCTCGCCTTTCTTTTCTTCACGGCTAACGCGCCGCGACGGACCCGGAAATCCGCGGAACGCCTCGCGTGCTTCGTGCCACAGGTGGTAGCGGCCGATGCTCGTCCCTCTTCTCCTCCCTCTTCTATCCCCGATAGAATATACGTAAAAACGGATAGCCGTGACCGTGCAGACACATGCCCGTTCGTCTTATAGGGTGTCTCGTAAAAAGCGGGATCGCGCCGCGGTCAGGAATGCGTTCTTTTCCGCTGATCGATCGATCGATCGCTCGCGATCTCCTCTTTCTCTTCCGAGATTCTTTATGAGAGAGTTCTTATCTAATTGTTGGCTGTTGCATTTCTAACGCGTCTATTTAAATATTTTTAACGTATATATTTTTTCCGGGTTTTTAGTTAATTTTTCTTATTTAATATTCCTAACCAGGCTTCTTTAATGCAATCATTTAATGCAATCGGATTTAATGATCTCGAAATTTAAATGGTTTAGTTTGAAAAGCGCATAAGTATTCAAATTTAGATTGACTTGATTAAAATTATTATCATCCGATCTAAATGTAATTGATTCTTCTATTGTAAAAGATAATATAAATAAAGAGATTTGGGAATTATAATTTGCAAGAGTATTTTAATTAACTATGTAGTAAAAAATTTAATTAATTAAATTAAAATAAAACAAAATATTTAATATTAATTAGAAAAATATATATATATGTATGTATATATAGAAAAGCTATTAACTTAGGAAAGCTTCGAAATAATAATTATGTAATTTGACTAATTATCAGAGATTATTTTAGAACTAGATATGAAAACATATAATGTTAATTAGAAAACAGTAATTGTGGCCATTTAAAAATTGTCAAAAGTAGTTTTATACTTTTGTGTAGTAGTTATTCCTATTCTTCAAGCTTAAAACTAATTTCACATACAGCAACAGTTACATCAAATAGCAGTTCACACATAGCATTTAAATGTAGGCTATAAATACGACATATTATTCTAATGCTATTCCCGCATTTGCACTAGAAAACCATTGAACCGATAAACATAAATACGTGTATTGGTCATACGCGCAAAGTTTCTAGAATTAAACGCCTTGCTTGGCAAGTGTTAAATAGCTAACACAATGTTATTGATATCTA